ACTGCAGAGGTCCTGAAAGTGCCAGTGGTATCTAGGGCTCTTGGGGTCTTTGGTGGCAGAGGCTGCTAGGGTCTTCCTGTTCTCCTTTTTTCCCTGTTGGAGGAAGTTCTAGCCAAGGGGATCCCTCTTGGCACCAGATCTGGTGCACTGGCACTCAGAGTAGCAATGGAGCCAGGTTTCTGGGATCAGGCACATGTGGAACTACCATGGCACCAGGGTCCTGGGGCACAGTTATGCTTGCTGTGACGGAAATGCCAGTGTCTAAAGTGCAGGTATGTACACGTCTCCTGAGGAACTGGAGTCTGGGTCTGTGGGGCTCACCACAGTGATTTGGGCACCAGGGCAGGGAGATGCAACCGTGGCACAGGCTGTGGGATGACAGGGTCCAGCAGTGGCTTGGGCCTAGGGTGCAGGGTGCAGCAGCAACATGTCCTGGGGATAGTGGGCCACAGTCCTGACTCTGGCCTCAGGGAGTAGGGTACAGAGCAGCAGCAGCTCGGCCTCGGTGATGCCAGGTCTGAGCCACGACTCAGGACCCAAGGGGTGAGGCACAGAGCTGCAGCAGTGCAGCCTAGTGATGGCAAGTCAGTGCCATGACTTAGGACCTGGGGGTGGGACAGAGAGCAGCAGCAGCACAGCCCTGTGATAGCAGGTCAAAGCCTCGACTTAGGACCCATGGAGCAGTCACAGAATAGCAGCAGCTTGGCCCCAGTAATAGTGGGTCAAAGCCGCAACTTAGAACCCCAGAGGCAGGGCACAGAGAGCAGCAGCAGCTCTGGTCTCATAGATGGTAAGTCCCTGTGGTGTCCCAGTCCCAGCGAGTGGGGCGCAGTGTCACCTGGGGCTCCTGGGGCAGATGCTCCTGCAGCAACAGCTCCAGCCCCCGTGAGGAGACGCAGCAGTGGGGCTCCAGGCAGCTCCATTAGCTGGGTTCGTGCTGGTGCAGACTATGGGGGTCCTCGGTAGCAAAGACTACAAATGTCCACAGCAGTGACGAGGCTTCCGGGGTTCTCCTTTACCCGTGGAGTGAAATCCCTGCAAGGGGGTCCCTCTTTGCACTGAGCTCCTCTGGACTAAGGGAGGGGGCAACGCAGGGAAAATGCTCCCTACGCTTTTCTGTGTGGCTGTGCTCGGTTTTTGAGCTCTGCAGGGTTTCTGCTGCTGCTTTGTTGTAGTTCAGAGCTTTCCCAAAGCTGTTTTTGTCTGTTTGTAGTTGTTTATTTATTGGTTTTGTGGGGGAGACAAGCTTTGGGACCTCCTAGCCTGCCATCTTGCTGATGTCAGTCCCTACAATGAAATTCTTCTTTTATTTTATTTAAAGTCTGAGAAAGCAGAAAAAATCAGGAAAGGTAAAAGTGAAAATAAAATATAAGTTTGAACTGGGGGTAGGGGTGGTTTTATCTATAGTTAAAGCTTCATGAATTAGGCTATTGGCACAAATAACACACACAATCATATTCAACTTGGAACTACCGGGTATATTTTGTAGCATATTTGTCTTCTTTTGCTTTAAATATTAATTTGGGGCTGGCCCCGTGGCTTAGCGGTTAAGTGCGTGCGCTCCGCTACTGGCGGCCCAGGTTCAGATCCCGGGCACGCACCGACGCACCGCTTCTCTGGCCATGCTGAAGCCGCGTCCCACATACAGCAACTAGAAGGATGTGCAACTATGACATACAACTATCTACGGGGGCTTTGGGAAAAAAAAAAAAGAGGAGGAGGATTGGCAATAGATGTTAGCTCAGAGCCGGTCTTCCTCAGCAAAAAGAGGAGGATTAGCATGGATGTTAGCTCAGGGCTGATCTTACTCACAAATAAATAAATAAATAAATAAATAAATAAATAAATAAATAAATAAATAAATAAATAAAAACTGTTTAAAAAAATAAATATTAATTTGTATTCCTTAAAATGTGCAACTTACGATGACCCATAAAAAAAACAGAAGGAAAACAGTTAGAGATTTAAATGTATTCTCTAGCTTGTCGGTTGTCCATACTCAAATAAGAAAAAAAAGTCACATTTTAGGAGTACACATGAGTTAATTTCCCCACCAATGCCCAATGCAGTAGGTAGAATCTGTGTCTGCTTATTTAGGTAGACTGAGATTCTGGTAACAGGTTTAATTTGGAGCTGAATGAATAAAAGAATGTCAAAAATTGGGAGCTAGCCTGATCCTCAATTTAAAAAAAAAAGCCTAGGAGCTACAATTGGTCCTTAAAAAAAACTAAATATCATCTGTGCTGGTAACTTTGAGAGATGCTAGAATATCTGAGCTTTTCAACAAATTCACATAGAAGCAATTAGTATTTGGGAACAGAGCTTTGTCAAATCAGAAATAAAGCTTAAGTGGTATATGGCATGTAGGAGCTGGTTTTGGGGGGAAGTCTGATTGTGTTATTGGCTAATGTATACTTTTCAGTAGTTGGGGGAGGTCCTGACTGTTTCTGGTCAAGGTCTGGGTTTTACTAACAGTGTCTGTGAAGACATAGAACCAGGAATCAGTCATTGGATCTGACAGTAGAGAGAAGTGGGATACAAAGTGTTTTGTGAGAATGTGGCCTCTGGAAGGCCCTCACGCCAAGCAATGTTTAAATTTAGTTTCAGCATTCACAACACAAATAGAAATTCACAGTTGACACAAAGATGAGTTGTCTTCATCTGTCTTCCTTTCAAGTTGCTTACCCTGGAAAGGATGCCAAATTTGGGACATTCCCGTGATCGCCCTACATAGACAACATATATCCTTTATACATCAAAAGGAAAGAGCAGTGACTCACGGTGGAGGACCCTAGGGGATTGGTTTGCTGAAATTGCTCTTCACTAATTACACATGCTTATTTGTTCCTTTTTTATTTTAGAGTTATAATAAGAAGAACTTATTCCAGAAATCTGGGTCAGCTCTAAACTTAGGTTTTCTCATTAAACTTGGTTACTTGAGGATCTGTGTTATTAAACAAACCTGTAATCTTTTCGTGGTTTGCAAACAATAGATAAATCATCTGTGAAGGTCAACTGATCTTTGAAAAGTGACCTTTTCAGTGCTAGAGAGAACCATTTTATATTGCCCATCCTGGAAAGATTTAACTGGGTAATTTCTCAGGTGGGCTTAGCCAAGACTCAGTCTTCTCGTGAGCCAAAACTTCTTTTTCAAGCAAGGCTCACTTCAATCACTTACCTTTACGAGGAATCCAGCTTTGCTCCCAGGTCCATTTATGTCCATGTAAACGATCTCTATGCTTTAAATATTATGTTAAGTTAAAGGTTGTCACTGTGGTTGTCAAATTTAAAATATCAAGGTCAAGAAGCTGAAAGTATTCCTTTGGCCTAAGCCTCTGTAAGGCCGCCGTGGTGGTGGGGGCTGTTTCAAGGCCTGAGGCTCCCCCGCCTGTGGTTGTGGGAAGACACTCTATCCATTCCTGCAAGTTATTTGTGGCTCTCTGAGGAACTCATTTAACACTGTTCTCCAGTGCACGATCTTAGGAGGTAAAGTTGGAATTTTCTAGTCCTTGTTAGAATGTGTGCTTCAATCCAGAAGTGTCCTATGGCTTAAAAAGTTTGACGGTCAGGAACACGCTCACAGAGACCCCTGAGGAATGAAACTTGGAACGTGCCACTGTCTTCTCATCGTTGATATGCTGATCTGGAGTGAACCTTGGAGCAGCACAACGAACCGATGAAATTTCAGCTGGGGCTCAAAGCCTGACAACCATAGTAAATCCTGTGTAAGCAGGATACTTGGAGGGAAGGTTGTGAAGTTAATTGAATTTTATGATTAACAGAAAGTTATCCAGAAAACCATTTTGTTTCACCTCATCTTCGTGGAAGTGTTTCTAAAAAGCTTGGGTCCACTTTACTTTTTTTTAGTATAATTAAAATTGTAGTTTAATCATTTTTTTAGAATTAAACGCTTCAGCACCTCCATAGCATTATCCTAATCATAAAAGCTTATTCTGTATTTCCTATAGTATGACTGTCGGAGGTAAATTTGTTGGACTGAAAGTATACAGACTCCAGAACAGCCCCAGAGTTATTAGCTTAAAGGAAAAGATCCCTGGTATGAGATTTTGTTATTTTTTCCATTTTTCTGAAAATAGATTGTAGAAAAATTCCATCTAATTGAGGGTTATGAATTCTCTGAATGTGACTGTTCCTGGTTTAAGTAATGAAAAATATGGTGGTGAAAAGGAGAATTTTATTCCTAAGTCTTGGATTTTAGTTCAGCTTTGCTCTGTTTATTATGAGACTCAGGACCAGTCACAGAGGCCCTGTATAGCCCAGTTCTTCCAACTCTGAAATGCAGACTATATCTCTTGAGATGGAAAATCACGCAGTTCTACTTTCTTTACTGGGATATATTATATTATTGCAATTAGTATCCATTTTCCCATTTTCTTCTATGGGAATACTTTATCCCATCATGAATATCCATATATACATCTGTATGTACATGTATGTATGTATATAAAATAATGTAAGATTCTAGTTTTCTATAATGTACAGAACTCCTTAGAGATCACCATATTTTAGGGAGGAGGAAAAGTGTCTATTAGTGTCTGTTCCCATAGCTTTTCACTGAGACTATAAATTAGGCCTGGGAAAGCTTTAATGAGTCAGTAATTTATAGACTATTAAGATACTTAGTTATAAGTGATTCTTGAGCATGTCCACTAGAGAACACATGTTTATAGAGGACAGAGAGATTCAGCACAATGTCTTTGGCCTAATCAAGCCTAATCAATTAACAAAATGGGATGTCTTATTTTGCATATCTCCCACTCCCCCAAAATAGATCCCTAACCACTTGTTAACCACACTGACTTTTTAAGAGACAGAGTGGTTCTATAGCTTTGCCACCAGAAATGTTCAAATTAAGCACCCTATTAGATTGTAGCCAGCAGAGTCTACGTAACGGGAAGAATGCTCTGGTTGCTTCTTTGCCTCCTTTCCTGGTTTGACTTGATGTGATAATTCATTGCAGATTTCTTTTTCTTTGACAGAGTGCCTACCGCAGGAATGGGATGGCTTTTCTGGCCTGCTGATGTGACTGTGACTGCAACAACAGGAAAGGCAATGTTATATTAAGGTGATTTCTTTTCCCTCCTTGGACAAAATAAAATACAAGTTTACCTTCTCCGTATCCTTGGGAGTGGGTTGGTTTGTTGTGACTATCAACTGGCTGACTCCAGCTCTTTTCCAGCCCCCTCAACACTTAGTCTTGTTTACTAGAAGGGCCGTTTAGCTAATTAATGGCAGGATGTTTGGGATAGTGTGTAGGTGGACAAGAATGCAGATCACACAATTTTGAAATTTTAATTTGGAGTGGATTCACTGCCCTCAGCTCACATGTCTTAAAAGCAGTGTCTTTTTTTTTTTTTTTTCACTGTTTAGTCTATGTTTTATTTGATGTATTTTGTAATCCAGGTTTGAGACAAAGGAAACAAAATTAAAAGGACAGTCAGTTTCCCCCTTGCTCTATCCCACCAACTTTACTTTCCAACATCTGCTGACTGTATCTACATGCATTTTAGAGACAAATATCCATTTTATAAACTCGCGCTAATCAAAGACCTAATTGACCTGGTGAGCTGTCTGTTCCCATCTTCTCTTCTTTTCACCCTGCTTAGAGGATATGTGTCATTTTCATGCCCTTTTCCCAACTTCCTGCGTGTCTGCCTATCATGTGTGCTCTCCTCACATAGACCCTCTTCCCCCGTCTTCATTTCTCTCCTTTCCCTATCCCTCCAGTCCCCAGGCCCACCCTCACACACAGGCTGTGCCCATTTAGAAGCAAAGTAATCAGAATCAATAGGAGGGGAGCCGGTGGCTTGCTTCCTCCCGGCCAAGCACCAGCACGCCTCGACTGGATGTGCGGACTGGGATTTCCTGCTGGTAGCAGCTGAGCTACCCTTCTGGCATCTATACTTTCTCAGTGAATGAGGAACTGTAACTCTTGGAAACAAACCAAAATATAGCAGATGTAATTATGCAGTTCCTGATTAAACTTGAATTGCAAAAAAGGAAGTTATTTCTTTAATTCTGTAGGAGTTTTATGTAATTTTACTTTTATCGTGGTTTTTATACACACTGAATCAGCCTTTGTAAAGAATTAATAAAAACAGAAATGAGAAGCATGAAAGATTTTCCTCTTGTGACCAAATCATTGTGAGGCTCAGTTAATATGATTGTGCCATATTATTCACATTTGTTAACTATCATTTACCTGTTCTATGTTAGTTCTTCTGGAAAAAATCTTCATGTCAAGAACAAAAAAACGCAGATATATAATATCAAAAAATTGCCAAAGGGTTTTGATGTTCCATCTGTGCTTGTTGAAATGTATGATTAAACTTTTCTTTTTATCATCATTCTTATTTTTCTTGGCGTCCCTAATCATGGAAAATTATAAGCTTGCAGTAAACATCCTAACTTTTAAAACGACAGCATTTATTGTATTTAGTTTCGATCTGCCAGGCTTAGAGATGTATAAAATTTTCAGAGGCTAATTTTTCACATCAAAATTCCTTCTCTCCCACATTATATATTTTAAAGTATGCACAAGGCAGAAAATATAGGGTTTGGGTTTTTTCCCTTCATTTTATTCTACCTGATCTCCTTATAGTCCCAGAGAAGGAAGACTCAATGTACATTTCTCTCAGAAATATGACAGGTCTGTGTTTTTGTTGGTCTGGCATATGTTTGTCTATCTTGAACAGTCTGACAGGTAATTATTTATAAAATCTGGTTTTGCCCAGTAAGTCCATATAATAACCTTTCACTTTTCATCATAAGCCAGTGAGCTGAATTTAGAATAAAACAAGGTCATTTATGTCTGTCTCAAATCGGCCTAGATGTCCTCATAATTGCTCAATATTAATATTTTTAATTCTTTTTTTTTCTTTTCTACACTTAGGTCCTTTCTCTGACTCTTTCCACAACACTAAATTTGAGCTGAAATAAAATTTCCTTAAGCAGTGAGTGCAGAAAAAAAAGAAAATTTATAAAAGGAAAGTTTCAGAAAATGTGACTTCAATAAATTGCTCTCTCAAGGTTAAAATGTTATGTAGAATCATCAATGTTAAGAGCAGAAGATGGTCTTAAAGATCATTAAAAACAACCACTCATTTTACAGATGAAGAAACATGGCCTAGAGAGGGAAACTGACTTTCCAAATGTCACTCAATAATGGCAGTGACACATGAGAGACCAGATCCATGGTCCCTAATTCTCAGTCTAGTTATAATTACGTAACACAGTCTAATTATACTCCATCCTACTGGATTTGCGTGAGACATTACGAAGACATGTTGGGGTTTTATGGCATGTTTATCTTAGACAGTTACGTAAATTTGTTCTAAAAAGATTCTAATTATGGATACATCTTAAAGCATGAGTGTTACATTAGAATCTTCTTCAAAGGGACTGTGGTATTAATTAAATAATGTTATATGTCAATTATGCATCAATTTAAAAAAAAGAGGCCTACGAGCAAGGGAGAGGAGATTTAACATACTCTGAGCACCTGCTTTGTGTCAGGAACCTTACCTCTGATACTTCGTTTATCCTCACAATGACTTCATGCAGTGGATGCTATAAAACAAAACAAAAAAACCCACGTCAGGCTCAACTCTAAATCAAATGTGAGTACACAAAACAGTTTCTATTTTTGTAGCCTTGTGTTTTGGAGACTGAATTTGAAAATAAATAAATAAAACCAACAAATAAATAAGCAAATAAATAGCCTCTTTTGTGGGCAATTGACATTACCTCATAGATCTGAGGGTAAAGGAAACAGAATTATTTCTCCCTTCACCTAAATTTGGAAATGCAACTTTCTGAACATGCCATTTTGAGGCTGTCATTGACCTTCCTGCCTTTGCATATTGCAATAGTTGAGATTCAAAAATAATGTTCCAAGTTTAGAACCAAGAGTTTTTATTTAAAAACCATCAGAAGAACAAATATTTTTTTAAATGGTGTATATAATTCCTGTATCTAGGGAGAATTCTTCATTTATTACTGTTTGTTTCTTTAAAATAAACAATCCGCATTTAATGCTTTTACCACGTAGAAGACAAATAAACACAACTGGTGATTCTTGGTCTGAAAGAAAACAAGTTTACTTCTCTAGAAATTATAAAGTTTAATTTTATGAAAAGTTTTTTATGTAGTTCCCAGATCAGGTATTTCTTTCCAGTTCATATAACCCCTTGTGTAACACTGAATTACTACAGAGAAAGTATTCCCTCATCTGCCCTCCTGGAATTTAGATAGAACCTTCCCAGCCTGCATTTAAAATTCTACCATCAACCATGTATACATCTCATAAAATATTTTACAGTTTCCTGTATGCTCTGGCTCAACATTTCATAGTGCATAAACACTTCTGCAAATAATATAAGGGCATCGAGTTGAATATGTCATAACAGTGGCCCCCACATAAAGCTGATTCTCCAGCAATTTATTTTCTTATTTTTATCTTCTTATTTGAAATCCACGATGAAACTTTCTGTGCTTTTATTGTACAGTTGTGGGGGGTGGTGCGCGCAGGGGCTCTAGCAGTTTTAGTGGGGCTGTGGTCGTTAAAGCAGAGACTTTCTGCAGAGGGCATCAAGCCAAGCTTAAACAACAAAACCATGCCTGCAGGAACTGGATGTAAATGTGATGGTTAAATAAGGGCCAGATGCCTTTAAAAACTCCAATATTAAAAAGTCATATCTCTTAAAGTAAGTCTCTAATGTTGTGAGTAGGATAGTGATACCATAGCACTTAAAAAAAGAAAGAAACAAAGAAAGAGACTTGCATTTGTTTTCTGGAAGAAAATATCAAATATTCAAGCTGTCATAAGTCATGAGAATTTTGGCAATTGAAGCATATTTTAAAACAATCAATTCCTACAAAGTCACAAGAAACGCACATACAATATTTCATTGTTGGAAACCACTGTAATTCTGTATAGAGCATTATATTCCTGTTCCCGTTTCTGTTCATCACCACCCACTATTTCCTACTCCCATTTTTTTCCAAGGGAAAATAAAAATAGAAAAAGATATAGGAAAAATCAAGATGATTACATATATAATTTTACTAATACCAGGTAACAATTTATTATCAAAAATGATATATCGTATCAGCCTTTTAATAATAAGTTTGACATGATAATCATAGCACACCGTGTGCCACCCTGTGTGCTAAGCACTTTGTGTGGGTTAGCTCGTTAAACACCCACAACTCCACTAGGAGATGTGCACTGTTGTTCTCCTTTTTGCCCACAGGCAGTGGAGAGGAAACAGGAGCAGAGGTTCAGTGTCTTGTGCAGAGGTACCCAAGATGGAGCTGGCATTTGTACCCAGCACTTTGACCCCAAAGCTCATGCTCTTAACCACTGTTATATGGCAGGGACTGTACTAAAGTAAAGATTTCTGATAACATAGTACCGGGATTTGCTGCCCTAAACCCAGAAGCACTTCTCAGTACCAAACAACTTGATTATAAGAAAATTTCCTTTTAACTTAACCTTCCTTCTCTAAGGCCAAGTATTATATATTTAATAGAATATCATATAATGTATAATAGAATATAATTATATAGAATGATGCCAAGTCCTCTGTAATGTCTTAAATCTTAAGATAAATACATATAATCAATGCACATACTAAGAATCTCTATAGAGATTATGAGAAAAACTTCCTCAAAGATCTATGTGTACAAAGCCTCTCCTTTGTGAAGACCAGATTTCTCCAGAAGCCTCTAATTACACAGGCTACTATTTTATGCTTTCGCAAAAGGCATTTATCTCATGTTATAAAATAATCCCCATCTTTTTTACATGGTTTGCATGGCAGATACAGAAGTACCTATGGCAATTCCTTGAAACTTTATACAAATCCCCCTTTTAGGTGTTTGCTTGTTAATTATGGTATAGACATTGTTTCTCCTAGCCCAGGATGTTTGTGTGTGTGCTTGGGAGGGGTGGTGGACAGAGAGAAAGAAGAAAGTGGAAAGAAAGTTGCTGAGCACAATCTGAATTAGAAATGATGATTTTCCTCTCGCATCAGGAGTTGGCAGCTTCTTTAATTCAGCCCTAGGTCTGTTCTGCCTCAGGACAAGTCACTTCCTGATTTATGTCCTTTAAGGTCCCAAGGAGCAGCACCAGCCTGTGGTACTGCATAACTGCAGCATTTTTTTTTCTGAATGGCATTGATCTACATCTTCAACCACTTTACTTGGAGAAGTTAGTTTACCTGCCAGTACACTGTCCACTTCTCATCTCTCCTCCCTGACATGTATGTGCCAGTCAGCCAGGCATCCCTAAGCAGCAGTGACTACTGCAGCTGGTGGGTTAGCTTGCCACACTTCCATAGATTTGGCCGGTGAAGAGACAATGAGCCCAAATGGGTTTAGGCAGTTTATTACTTAGCAGCAGCATAAGCAAGATCAGCATAGTGTCAACTTTCCATGTTCCTAATCCCCCCAGGAAGATACCAAACCAAAGGGGCCAGATGACAGACAACATGAGTGGTGGGTCGCTGTGTCATGGAGGCACCAACTCTAAACTACAACCAAGTAATTTTTTAGCTTGCATCCATACCCAAAAGGAGGTCGAGTGGAAAGTCCCATGCCTCACCAGAACTAGGGAGACGGGAAACTACCTTGTGGCAGCTCCTCCCAAGACTGGCTATCTTGCCACATCTCTTGGATGACGGGAGACTGTGGTGGAATGTGGCTTATGTGGAGACATGCAAGGTCACTAGGGTGCCTTTCCCCTGCGATATGTAGAGTGATGTGTGTTTCTGCTGACAGTATGAAAAATCAATCAGCCTCTTTCCTAGGTTTTCATGGTGGCATCC